CATTCTCAGTCATCCAGGTCATGGTTGTCCCAAAGGTGCTTTTTCAGGAGGCAACTGGAATATAAATGCTTCCATTTTCCACCATCCTGTCAGAATTGAAGAAGCTTCTTGGATGAGAAATGAAACATCTTCAAAGAAAAACAAGGAAGTCCAGTTCCCTACTGAAAAAAAGCACCTTTGGGACAACCATGACCTGGATGACTGAGAATGTCTACAGACTTTTAACTATACAAATTCCAGGTGTGCTTGTCTACCATCACTATTATCTTCCAGCTACACGGAATTGGCCAAATTGATTGATGTTGATGAGTATCACATTCACACACCCCTGCAGGGCTCAGTATTGATAGCAATCTACATGAAAAAGTGTGAGTTTTGCATTAGTGGGAAGAGAAATCTTATCAATTCTTTTGGGACGCCGCAAACATTTAAATGGTAGATAAAATGAATTTTTCTAATACAGTTCTTCCTATTCCTCCCCTAGAAAGCCAATCATTCTAACCTTGCTAACACTTTTGCTGTCTTCTTGGAATTTCTGTTGATCTGCTGGATATATTTTTTGCCGTGACAATTCTCCAGGTGAAGATGCTGCCTCTTTATTAAGCTCCTGGCAAGAAGATATATCTGCTTTGCTGCACTGATTTGGTCTGCTTTTCCTCTTGTCAACGCCGAGACTGGCCCCTCTTCCTCCTTCTGAATTCTGCAACATTTCAGCAGAAGTGGGAAGCTTGAATTTGGCTATCAACCAATTATCTGCAGATGTCAGGAGAAGTTTTCCCCCTGAGCTGGCCAGATTTTGTTCTTTTTCCATCTTTCTTCCTGGGTCACTGGGGATGTCCGACTCCTTTTTATGCTTCTCCATATTATTCCATATGGCCTGCAGCTCTTCTTCCTCTTCTTCAAACATCTCATGAGCAGGGTGACGAACGTCTGCTGTCATGCCTTGCAACTTTGTTCCTTTGGTTACCTCTGCCCATGGAGTCAAATTAAAAGGGCAGAGATCTCTGCCACTCAGAGTATTTTCCACATAGCCCAACTCACAATCAAGCTTAGCAGGTTGGGTGGGAGATTTATGCCCCAAGTGCAGAAATGAAGGTGGGTGTCTTGAAATGCCTTCTCCAGGGCACTGAGTATTTTCTTTTTCTGATGTCTCGTTCACTAAAGGATCTTTAGTTCTGGTTAGACGAGAAACGAAATCAGGGATGCTTGGAGATTCAGCAGAGGAAGGCTTCAGTTTCAACCTCAAAGCTTCTTGGACTTTGGCTCTCTTATCATCTACATCTTTTACTTGCTTCTCTTTGGGGCTACCCATTCTACCTAGTGAAGCAGCTAGTTTATCCCACTCCAAACCTATCTGCTCATGCAATACACTGGTATGAGAGGGCTTATTCCGCTTGAAATCAAAAAATCCATCACTGGAATGGTTGTGACTTGTGGGATGCAGCTTCACCTCTTCACTAGAAGCAACAGAGTAAGTTTTCTGCCTGCCGTAGATTGGGTTGAGGTTCACTTCTTCAAACCAAGTGCCCTTCTTAGACTTGGGGAGCTTATGAGGAACATCTTCTGCTCTCATGGGCTTTGCATGCATTACTCTCTGTCCTCTTTTGGTTTCCTTTTCCAGGCTGATACCAGTTTTGTGTGTCTTTGTCTCTTCTGTATTCCTTTGGTCCACTTGGTTCACCTGCATTGCCCCCTTCCTTTCTGCTATTTCTTCCCTTGCTACCTTGACAACATCATGGACATTTCTAAGAGCACTGAGGTCCTTGGGAAGTTCCAGGCTCAAAACAGATCCCAGGGAAAGATGCTGACAGGTGTTCATCTTTTCTGTGGATGAATGGTGGCTATGGAGACTTGTGCTTTGTTTCAGGAATATGCACTTTCCAGACGTTTCTCTGGGTAAATCACATTCCTCATCAATAGCCCATTCCAGTGGATTTTTTACATAATCCATCAGCTCTCTTTGTGGTAAGGACAATGCCTGCAGCACTTGCACCCTCCGGGTGCATCTAGGCGGCCAAGTGTTACTCATACTATGCTTCCCTTCTTGCAGATAATTTGTTTTTGTTCCCATAATCCTTTGCAAAATGAGCTGCTGAATATCTCCTGCCATTGCTTTGGTTTTTCCCTTTGGGCTTTTTGGAGAGCAGCTGGAATTCATCTTGGGGAAAGTATGAGAGGCTGCTTTGCTCCACTCTACCCTGGAAAATGGGGAAGAAGGAACTCTGGGAGACCCTTGCTTAACAGATTCTGATATGAGTGCTGAATTTCCAACGTCGGGATCCTGATTTCTACATCCATGTTTCTCCTTTACTTGTAGATAGGTGCTCACCTGTAAAACATGGTAAGAAAAGTAAAGAACATATCTGAACTGCATGAAGCTGCTGGAGTCTAAGCCAAATATTTAAGATAGCACAGTAGCAAACATTGCAATCGTAAGACCTTATTTAAAGGCATGCACTGAGACATGCTATCTTCTGCCAAATGTTTATTCACTCTTCATTTGAAAGACCCATTCATGCAACCCCCCAAAAAGGACAATGCACTTCAGTTTTATTTATTTCTTGCCAACTGAAACTCTAGCTATTCTAGTTTATTTCATTTTATTATTCCTGGCTTTTCAGGAAGGGAGACAATATTAGTCTGAACTTAAAGGTAGAGAAACCATTACTAAATACACCTCAAAGCATTTCAGTATACAGTATATCACAGAAGTGAGTACACCCACTCACATTTTGTAAATATTTAAGTGTTATCTTTTCATGTGACAACACTGAAGAAATGACAATTGGCTACAATGTAAAGTAGTGAGCATACAGTTTGTATAACTCAAAATAACGCAACACACAGCCATTAATGTCTAAACTGTAAGTGATGTGCTACCCATTCTCAATTCATTTCAACATTCAAGCTATCAACAGAGTATTAAAAACATTTAATGGGTGTTAAGATCAGCTGAAAGAGGTTTGGCCATTTTCCAAAAATAAAATATTTTCTCCTGTCCATATCTTAGCTCAAAATTCAATATATCGTAGGACTCATTTCTTGATTCTTTTTCGTTTGCAAATCTATTTACTCCTTCAGAGTGGGAGCTAAATTACATACTGTTCCTTGTCCTAGTATATCTTCCATGAATTTGTATGGTAAGTCTGCATAGGTGACACCAGT